GAACAGAAAGAAGACTACTTGGTGACACGAGAGTCAGAGTAAAAATGATAAATAAAGAAGTTTATTTCAGAGAAGGGGGAGGGGTTAGGACTAAGATGCAGAATAACGTTTTTCTAATAAATAACTAGCATCTATTTATACTATTTCTTATACATGGGGAAAGTTACGATGGGTTTAAATTATAGATTAACAAGGGACTTTACGGAACAGATATCATGAGCAGATTATTTGACAAGGATGAGTAATTGAGATTCGACGAGTAATAGCAGGCTGGATTTAGTTGACATTGAATAATTAGATGGTTCGGGGAATATCTCTGATTTGACACGGGCGGGAAAACTGGATTGGGATATGAAGTAATAGATGATCGGAAAAAGGTTTACTAAGGTTGAGTCAGACAAGAGGCGGGAAATATATTGGAATACAGATTGGTGGTAGGTTTTACAAGGAATTCAGGAAGCGGGCAAGATATACAGATATGATTTTGGGTACAAGGTTTTACAGGGAGTTTGGTAGCGGACAAGGTATACTGATATTATTTTGGGTACAAGGTTTTACAGGGAGTTTGGTAGCGGACAAGGTATACTGATATTAGATTTTAGGACAAGGTTTCACAAGGGTTTAAAATCAAGGCATGATCTAGGACATGATGAAATGAGTTCATGACAGTATGTCATAGAACATATGTCTTAACAATACTATCATAAGGTATTCTACTAATTCTTCTCTCACAGTCAATTTAATCAAAGTCAAACGCGAAAAAGGTAGCTATTTCAGGACTTATGCAATAATATAATCTTCTATCCCCTTTTACTTTCAGGATGTGTATCTATAAAGGTATACTTTATTCTGTACTGTGCTTCCCTGTAATAATATATCATTAACAAACGCCTTTTTATTTTTTTACAGTCTCTTTTCTCTTTGAAATACCGTAATTAATATCTTGGTGATTATTTCACATCCTAAACTAATACATAACGCGTTTCATTTGTCATAAGATATATAGCGTAAAGCTTCGTACAAGGTACTATAATTTTAATGTTAATCATTATCCGTTTTACTAAACACATTATTCACTTTATAAATTAGCTCGTGATACTGCTTAAGCACGGATAAAATGTAAGTACAACATCTACCACAGACACTTGAATATCACATTAATACCTTTTTCCGTAGCTTCAGCTCAAACATAATCAGTTTTGCGTGGGTTTTCTAGCTTGAATTCACTGTCTGCTATACGTGTCATACGTGGCCTGTCTGGGCTACGTGGTCTGCCCTGTCTGTCAAGGCTGAATAGCCTGCCTGGTCGGCCTGCGTAGCCCCGATGGGAAACAGGCGCTTTCTGCCGGTTTCTGATTTTGTGGGCCAATTTTTTATATAAATAAATTTCGCTTTTTAAGGCAATTTTAAAAAAAAACTATTTTCGTGTTTTGTATTTGTATTTTATTGTTTTATTTGTACAGCAAGGAAACGTAAACAAAACCCCAAAACCAAAAAGGAAACACTTTTCATATCTATTTTTACTTTTTTTTTTGGGAAAAAAATGGTCTTGAAATTTTAAAGCTTACACTTGGTTGTGTAAGGAAACAGTAATAAAAATTTTATTTTGTATTTTGGCATTTTAGTAGTCCATTTTAGGACCGTTTATTTCTGGAGGCTTCACATTCCAAGCCCACAAATTTGTCATTTTTAAGCGGTATATTAATAATAGATTAATAATAAAAAAATATGACAACATTATTTTTGACAGAATTCAATTTAGGAAAAAAATATTGATAAAAAAACATTTTTTAAAAAAAAAACGGAGCTTGTCTGTATTAGTACATCTCCTATTTAAGATCTCAATATATTTTGTTTCATGTCAGCAGCCTAAATCTTACAAATCTGAGAATTCTAGTCCGTTATCCGTCAAGATCCAATAGGTTTGAGTACTCTGGTCCGTTATCCCTCAAAATCCGTTGATTTCAGGGTACTCCGGTCCGTTATCCCTGCCAATCCGTTGACTTTAGGGTACTCCGGTCCGTTATCCCTCAAAATCCGTTGAATTCAGGGTAATCCGGTCCGCTATCCGTTGTTATGCGATACTTCAGGTAATTCTGGTAGTTATCAATACTGATCCGACACTTACGGGTTCACTGATTACGTTTAAATAACAACCTAAATAGATTATAAGTAATTGGAAACGGTTCAAAAATGGTTCAAGCATTCTAAGCTTGTATGGGAATTATCTTAGTTAATTTCACATATAAGATAAGTCGCAAATCATATCGGAACGTCCTTAAACGTGCGTTGTATTTCAAAAATATATATACAGTGACCTCTAAACTATCCTAACTGTTTGAGGTTATTGTATTTTGTAACGACATCACATACTCATATCATAGGGACACTTTGGGAACATTTTCTATTTTCTGTCTTTTGTTATTATTAAGTTATTGATCTGGTTAAAAGCGCTTCATAAAAAATGTATAAGCTATTATCACTCTTATAAGATATTAAACTCTTCTTTTTTATAACCTTTACTGGAATATTTTTTATCCCAAACATGTCACACATTTTTTAGTCTATCACATTTTTATTTCGTCCAATGCTGCTCTAATCGTATCATTGCTTTGGAGACTGCTTTAAGTAATGGTGTAATTAACGGAGCTATAAACAGAATTAATCAAGACGACTTGTTCAAATTAGTGGGCCGGTGAGGAGTGGAGCGGGGCAAGAGCGGAACAGAATAATTATTAAGGTGAGGACCAAAGAAACAGGCATTATATCAATTAGTATTAACATATATAAAATGGATGAGAGTAGAAAAAGTTTAATTCAAAAAAAAAAAGAAAAAACAGATAAGATCTTGAATACAGAAATAGAATTAAATAGACATGACTACAATACCCGAGGAGTGTGTGGTGACCTAGCAAGAATATAGCCATATTAGAGCTGACAAAGGTTTATCCATGCTAATAGCATTTGTGATATAAGCTTTACAATAAATGTCATAGTAAGAACTATAAGGATATTACAGCGCAAGTCCAATTTAGTACGTCCGAGAAATAATTAAAATATTGTTTAAAGCAAGGAGATTTAAAAAAACTTCACATTTATTAGAACAAGACTAAAGTAGTACTATGTAATAATCGTATACATTTTTGGTTGATCTAGGACAACTTCAAGACAGCGCTTGAGACATGAACACAGCCGACAGTCTTTTATATAAATACTGGTACATTTCGTTTATTATTAAAAGACAATCTTATAGACAGTCTCAAACTACTCAGGTAGTCTTTTTATAATTTTACTTTACCTTAAAACATAACATTTAGTAAGGAGTACGATACAAATTTGCCGCTGTGTATTCCAAGTATATGTTCAAATATTTGAAAGGGTAATCATGAGTTCAAAAAGTTAGTGGTAACATGATAGAAACCCCAAAAGCCGTCAATCCTAAATTTCTAGACCATCGAAAGAAGTGAAATACACTTGAAATACGTATCCAGCAAAGGGAAAATTAATGGATGAGGTATTAAAGATAATTCCTCACTATTAAACCAAGAAAATAACAATATCAACAAATATTATTTTTCTGACACATTTTTAAACATCGTACATTCTACAGATTGCTAAACAACCGTTTCTTACGCCGCTAACAAAATTTATAGAAACAAAAAAAATTAATTTCGTCTGAAGCCGAAAGCTGTTAGAAAAAAGGAACTACAAGACAAGGATAAAAATATATTTCTTAAAAGTGGAAAACAATTTATAAAGATGTGCAAATAGTTTTAATAGCTTAAGGGCCCTCGCAAGCACATCAAACTATTTTTTAAAGATCCCGATTAAGGACATTAATTTTTTTTTTTTTTTGTGAAAGGTTACAGTTTTTCCAAATAGAATCTTTTAAAATTTTAATAATATATGGACGATTAATAACAACATTGAATATTTTCAGTGCTAAAAAATCCGAATTGTCCAAACGAAGAATTAAAATCTGCAGGCCCCAAAAACCTTCTATCAGATTATTTAATGTCCAAATCCGATTACTGAAATCACGAATGTTGTTTTATTTTTCAATAAGAGCCTTTTATTTTGATCGATTTACTTTTTTTTTACCATCTCTATTTTATTTTACGGATATGAGTTTCCAAAATTATTCAAGTGCTGACTTCATCAATGGCCAACGCCCAAACCCTCCTGTGGTAAGAGGCCGACCCAGAGTAAACCCTCCGTTTGCTGCACAGATTCCCACTGACGTACCTGTACCTACCCCTTCTTCTGTACCTGCACCATCTTCCGAACATGTTCCTTCTGCTGGTCCTGTTCCTTCTGCTGGTCCTGTTCCTGCTACCGAGCAAGCTCCTCCTCCTGCTGCTGATCCAGTTTCTGCTGCCGATTCCGTACCAGAGCCTAACACCAACCTTAACTGGGATTCACCAAGCACACATGTATTGATTGAAATTTTTCCTGCGTATCTTGTTGAAGCGGGTGTGACTAGCTCAAGTGAGGCAAAGGAGCTTTAATCCAAAAGACAGAAAAAGCCTTCAATGACAACGCAGCCGTCAATGGCCGAAGAGACATCTGTGCCATGACCACTAAATGGCATGCTCTTCATGCTAAGTATCGAAGCAGACGAGACGATGCTAATTCTACTGGTAGTGCACCTCCTCAACACTGGGAGTTTCATGATTTGATGGAGCAGGCAACAATACCAATGCCAACTACAAACCCGCCTGTTACATACAGCTCCCATTCCCGAGAAACTGTGGACAACCGTGGTGATTATGCCACTACACAACCAGTTGAAAACTTTAAATATTTCTTAAATTCTGCACCAAAAGTAAATTCCCGTGTCAGAATTTTTTTTTAAAAAAATAAAACTTTGCGATTGGGCGAAAAAACAAAATACGTGATTGAAGGCCAGATGTTATGAAATAAACAACTGAATGAAGGTTTTGTGCACCTTGAAAACTACTTTAGCGTCTTTTATGGGGGTCAGGATAGCGATTCGTGCAGCTAAGCATTTTTATTGGATAACAAAATGGAAGAGATTTTTTTTTTGAAAAAATGACATGTAAAAAAAAACAAAATGATTAGTTTCTTTCATTTTCTAAAATTTTGAAATAACGATTAGTGTTATGGAGCCACCAGAAAGTACCGAACTTGCACTTGTTGATAAGAGAATATTGACAGTGTCAATCTCAGTTTCCTGAGACATGTCAAGTAATTCCACCACAGTCAGTTTATACTTCAGCAAGTCCAAGATTTCTTCAGTTTTCTTGGTGAGGAGATTACCACCTTCGTCAGCTTGATAGACAGAAATGAGGCTACTGTCATCGTGAATCACGAAGGCTGGCCTGGGAACAAGTTCATACACCTCAACAATAGCCTGATCGCCGCGAAGTTTTACCACCTTTCCAAGCAGACGACGCCCCAAGAGAATCCAAGTCAACATCGAGAATAGCCGTCATTTAAAGCAATCTTCTTTCCAGCAATATATTCAGTACTGCCGAATTCCCGATTAGCAGAATAGTACATGTCCTCACTGTACCTATCGAACCACGCTTTGACCAGACTACCACGAGTTTTCATACCGTTATCCCAAACAAGACCCATCGCAATACTTCTCAGCATTACCTCACGACCGTTAATAAGAGCCAAATCACGAGAAGGGTTTTGTTTGTTGGTCTTCATGACAATTGCCCTAATGTGTTTGTTGAATTGCTCGTTCTTTTCAGTTGCGAGAAGCACAGGAGAAGCAAATCGAAGACAATCCTCTACCAAATGGACTATCAAATGAGTCTTTAAACGATTACACAATGGACCACCAGTTTTGGCGTATGGAATCGTAGCACCATTAGATTGTTCACCAGAAAGACCATAGATCTCTTCAGAAGTAGTTTGACTGGGCACTGATGCAGTTGTCGTTGCTGTTGCTGGCTCTCCACGAGTACGTCGGTTACTGGGAACAACGGTACGATCAAGGTTATCCAGAGCAATAACAGTATCATCAACGGATTGACGCAATAAATCGAGATAGGCAGAAAAGTTGGTATGTATTTCACAGTTATAACACAATGAGCAAAGCTCACCAAGCTTGTCAAAAGTACTAATAACGTTATCCATTCGGTGGAATTGATCATTACGAAGGTTGAGGAAATCAATGTGGTCACGAGCAACTCTGAGAACAATTGGGAGCATCTGAATCATAAGTTTGAAGTCTCTTCCAAGAAAGCTTTTGTATCCTTTGAGATGCGTCGACAAATTGGTAAAAGCCTTAGACCCATACTTTGCACACAAAATACTAATGCGATCAACCTGCTTCTTGTTGAAAAAGCAATCAGCAGCTTTGTTGAACGTGTATTTGATTAAACCGAGACATAGGCCATGCAGAATTTCTACCGGTGTATCCTTGCTAGGATCCCAAGAAGACAACGTCAAAAGCCTTTTGCCAGCAGTTTCCTTGAAGCCGAGGTCCATCAAGTTTTCGACCATGATATAATCACCCTGTCTGTTACGAACACGTATCGAGAAATCAGTACTATCCGAGTCATCGCTTGGAAATAAACTCATCCAGTGACCTTTTTCTCTTGGAACTGACATGTGTTCTTCGGCCGTGGTAATTCTATTAGGATCAAAAGCATCAGCATGTCGACACCAGAAGCATTTTCTACACGGATAAGTAGCTGTTGAAGCTTTCAAACAAGAAACCTCGGCATGACGAGGATTGTCAGCCTTGATAAACAAAAGAGGAGCAACAACAAAGACTTCTTCCTTGAGAATAGCATCAAACATCGGCAGACCAGTTTCCAGTTTCTTTAAATCGGGGACAAGGGAAGGCAACTGTTCCATAGCAGTATGGCGATTTGATCCACATAAAAAATTGATTCAAATAATGATTGGCAACACTAAGAGGAACAGCGGCAGGATTCATCGACCACGAATCGAAACAATTCCATTTTGATGTGGAATTACCACTGGTATCATCAGAGAAAAGGTTGTACGGAATTACTCTAACGACCTGGTAGTTTGGCGAATTGGGATTTATGCTTCTTATACGTGATCTAATGGGCAGTGGACGCTTGTACTTATTACCAGTATCAATCATGTCATGATGAGCGCGAATCAATCGAGTATTAGCAACAACATCTCTAGAACAAAGATAATCGTCACCATTTATTTGTTGTAAGCTGGTAAATGCATCGAAGGATTCATGTTCGGCACGAAAGACATTATTGATGTCAAGGTCGGTTATGGGACAGTGGAGAAGGATGTCGTATAAACAGCACATTTCAAGATTATTATCGGTTTAATTGGATACAAATCAACGTTCACAACTTTTGATATTTGGAATATCTTGGCCACTTTAAAATAATGGCGATCACGAAGAGGAATATTGCTCTCAGACAGCAAAGAGACTTATCCGATACCCAGAGTTGAAGATTTGGACCAGTAATTATCATGGGATGCTCAAACAATCTATCACAATTCCACTTTTCACCTTGACTTAGCTTGATTCGTTGGTTAGGTGTTCGATCAGGAAGATCTGACAGGAAACCAGACATACAGGGATTACCTACGAGAAGTCGCAAGTGTTCAGATACATCATTGAAACAAGTCAGGCTTTGATGCGACAACAACAGGAACAGCGGGTGCAGAAGCAGTTGTATTTGTTGCAGCAGGATCAGTGGCAGGAGCAGAGGTATTGGCAGAGCAGAGGTAGGCAGGAGCAGAGGTAGAGGCAGGAGCAGAGGTAGAGGCAGGAGCAGGAGCAGAGGCGTCAGCTGCTGTAGCAGTACCAGATGTGCTAGTTGATGTGGCAGGTTCAGTAGGTTCGACAAGAAGTCCGCCGTTATCATCTTTCGCACAATGGGGAGCATGAGGAAAACAAGGTATACAACTTTTCTTGGATTTGTGAAATCTGGAAACGCTGTGGGGAGTGGGATACCACGGAAATCATAAATAACATCAGAAGGATCCAAAGCTAGTTGAGCTCTGTACTCTTTGATTGCAATTTCAGCCATATATTTACCAAAATCAAGAACTGATTTGATTTGGACTTCTGAATACTTAAAGCTACCAGACTTGAAGAAAAGAAGGGCATGCATTATGTATTCATTTTTGAAAGGATATGCTGGATTGTCGTTGACATCACCACTCAAATCAAGATATTCATCATACCATCATCACCACCATCACCATTAGAGCCGTTGTTGACGTCGTTAACAGGAACGGGAGGTTCATTAGATCGCTATCATCATCAGATTCCCCTCCGTTGTTAAAATCATTGTTGAAATGGTCAAAGGCATTACCACCATCGAATTCTTCTTCACCATCATCACGCCCATCATCACCGTCACCATCATAATCATCATATGATTTTCATCAAATTCATTTGCAGGTTCAGACAATGGTTCGGCAGTGCGTTCAGGTTGGATTGGTCTAATGTATATTGATGTAAGTAATTTGAATATATTTAACAGCCTTAAATAACTTTACCTTTCAATGGACTCCATATCAGAACTACGAGATTCGCTTAGCGGGATAGTAGGTTGTTCGTCAGAGGTATTCCTAAAAATAATAATGATAAGTACAAACTGACTATTTTTAAATTGATGAAGACGCTCACTTACTGTTGTTGGATGTCATTGGCAGGTAGTGATCCTTGATTGGACTGAATCGCCTCCAGAAGTTCTAAGTGGTGTCCTGATCTTTGATGCACTTTAAAAGAGTGTCGATTAATTGTACTGTATTTACATAACACACACGTTTGCTCCTGAGGCGGTAAAGCAGGTTTTGCACGGAACTTATTTGTTCCAGGTTTTTTTTCATAGTGTTTTAAAATTAAAGTAAGTTGTTTATAATAAAATAAAGAATTTTGATAAAGTGCACTCTGGGGATTGTTTGTTTTATATATCGTTCAGATCAAAAAATGTGTTTAATGCTTAGCTTATGCGGACATAAGCTGTCAATTTGATTGGTGCAATAATTTACAAACGTCATTGCGGAACGATATTTTGTCACGCAACCCAACTTTCTTAGGTCGCTTTTCTTTCTCTTACGTATTTTTTTTAACCGTGGCGTGTCTTCACAAACGCGTGATTATTGCTTGTAATATTATGATGCTTATGAACAATGGTATGTCATAGAACATCTGTCTTAACAATACTATCATAAGGCATTCTACTATATTTTCTCACAGTCAATTTAATCAAAGTCAAACGCGAAAAAGGTAGCTATTTCATGACTTATGCGATAATATAATCTTCTATCCCCTTTTACTTTCAAGATGTGTATCTATAAAGGTATACTTTATTCTTACTGTGTCCCTGTAATAATATTACACTAACAACGCCTTTTTATTTTTTAGAGGCTCTTTCTCTTTGAAATACCGTAAGTAATATCTTGGTGATTATTTTACATCCTAAACTAATACATAACGCGTTTCATTTGTCAATAGATATATCGCGTAAAGCTTCATACAAGGTACTATAATTTAACATTAATCATTATCCTTTTACTAAACACATTATTCACTTTATAAATTAGCTCGTGATACTGCTTAAGCACGGATAAAATGTAAGTACAACATCTACCACAGACACTTGAATATCACATTAATACCTTTTTCCGTAGCTTCAGCTCAAACAGAATCAGTTTTGCGTGGGTTTTCTAGCTTGAATTCACTGTCTGCTATACGTGTCATACGTGGCCTGTCTGGGCTACGTGGTCTGCCCTGTCTGTCAAGGCTGAATAGCCTGCCTGGTCGGCCTGCGTAGCCCCGAGGGGCAAACAGGCGCTTTTTGCCGGTTTCTGATTTTGTGGGCCAATTTTTTATATAAATAAATTTCGCTTTTTAAGGCAATTTTAAAAAAAACTATTTTCGTATTTTGTATTTGTATTTTATTGTTTTGTTTGTACAGCAAGGAAACGTAAACAAAACCACAAAACCAAAAAGGAAACAATTTTCATATCTATTTTTATTTTTTTTTTGGGAAAAAAATGGTCTTGAAATTTTAAAGTTTACACCTGGTGTGTAGAAGTCGTGGTCATTCAGAAGTCGATAATGATAATGAAAGGATGAGGATGAGGATGTCGTTCCTCAGGTAAATGCAAGACGTCCACGTAATGTAAGTGTGTCAATGTGGTTTATGCCAAACCATATGGACCAAATGGAAGCTCACGCCGGGCTGAGAGAGCAGCTGATCGTGCTGGTATAATTAAAGAAAGGAATACCGATCGTGCACGTATTGCTGCTGAACGAGAGGCAGATATTGTTCGTATGGTTGAAGAAGATGCATACCGACGAAATCAACTGGATCATAACAACGATTACAGACGACAAAATACTGAGTTGGTAAGAGAGGCTACTTTGTCCATGTCCCGAATGGTAGATTTCTTTGCTGCTTCAATTGCTCAAAACACAATGCCACTCGTGCTCCCACACCTACCACTACCACCAGCAACAACAATCCCCCTTCTCCAATCCTTCTACAGATAAAATAATTTAAATAAAATTGGATAAACAAAAAGTTTATATTATTATTTCTATTTCTAAGTCTAGTTCTTCTTCTACTTCTACTTCTAGTTGCTCTTCAACCCCTCTAGCCGCCCCACGTCTAGTTCTACGTCTCATCAATCCCTCAAAAATGGTAATCCTTCTGCTACTACCGCCTACATCAGGTGAGTCTTCATCTTCGAACAGCTGCATTATGATCTTGAAGGTGAACAAGGTCGGTAAACCCGGTATCACCAAGGTCGATACACATATTGTGTAAAATACAACATCCGGTAATCATCTCGTTGATCTTCAATGGTCCAACATGTAAATGTACTTGCCAGTAAATCTCCAACGAGCCACCAACACCAAAGGCTCTTTCGATCGCCATTCTTGTAGATGAATGTAAACGATTGAATGTACGCTTGCGACTGTCTAACACGCATTGACTCTCAGGAAATGGTGTGATCAAGTTGGGTCTCAAAGGATAGGCAGAGTCACCAATCATAAACGTGTTGTCAGGAAAGTGAATGTCTGGGTGGCGAAGAATTTCACTCTACATCACTTGATCGAAAAGCGGCAGCATCATGCGTTCTTCCTGAAGTAAATATGTTGTGTTAGCTTTTATATTGTTTCATCGTAGATCATTATACTACAATACTGAGTCACCCACTTTGATATACCTGAATCGTAATGCAGAACCACATACGGCAGTAAGCTTCACGGAATAGTTGTTCATTCTATCCCTGAACATAGCACCCACGGTTGGAGGGGAAGGTTGGTGAATGATAAAGTTCTTACCATCCACAGCACTAATCACATCATTCAATCAATCCCCAGTGCTACTCCCAAAACCGACAGCAATGGCATTGGCTCTGATAGGGTCTGATGGGCATGTCAATAAATGACCAAGTTGATCCTTAATTGCTTTGAGTGTTCTTGTGGTGAAGTTGGTATAATAAACCTGATGAAACACCCAAATGCATATACGCTTGACGATATCCGATATGGCAATTAGCCAACCGAAATAAAGCCGTTGCGACTTGGTTATAAATCGGAGTAGTATTGGGAGCGACAAGATTGAATCTTCGTGTGCCGAAAGCTCGTTCACCAAATGCTCAAAAGCACGCTTACCCATACCGTAGTTGGCGCGATAACTACTGACTGGTTTTCGTCATTGTCATTGAGGAATGGGTGTTCCAATCTCCAAAAGTGGTATCGACGCGATTCACGTCTACCATCGGCACTAATTACTGTTCTTGTTCTTTCTACACGTTCGCCCATCATGAAAATGGGGAGATTGTTAATAGAAACTCCATATTGATTGCGGTAATTGCTGGCAATAAGATTATTGGAGACGTTCTGCATGGTAAAGTTCTCCAGTGGAATGAAGGTCTTCATGTTTTCCACGAGGCGTTGTCCAGTAGAATTAAGAATTT